GCACCTAACAACAACAGGGAAGACCAGTTAATACCACTATTATTCAAATTTACGCACCAACCATTCCACAATCTGAAATTGATCAAATATGCCATCAAGATATGTTGATAATCACTTGCAATTGGAATGCAAAAGTTGGAAACAAAGAGGAAGGATCAGTAGTTGGAAAATAATGTCCTTGGTGATAGAAGTGATGCTGGAGATCGCATGATAGAATTTTGAAAAACCAATGATTTGTTCATTTCAAATACCTTTTTTAAACAGCATAAGAGACTACTATGTACTTGGACCCACCAGATGGAATACACAGAAATCAAATTGACTACATCTATAGAAAGAGACTATGGGGAAGCGGAGAAGTGCCATGTCATCAGCCAAAACAAGGCCAGGGGCAGACTGTGGAACAGACCATCAATTGCTCATATGCAAATTCAAACTGTCACTGAAGAAAATGAAAACAAGTCAACGAGAGTCAAAATATGACCTTGCATACATCTCACCTGAATTTAGAGATCCTCTGAAGAACAGACTTAATATGTTAGACACTAAAGACTGAAAACCAGAAGAGACTCTGAAACTTGTTTTCCAGCGTAGAGATGGTAAATAAAGCAAATGGAAAAAATGAGGAGGTGCAAGAGCCTAACAGAAAATTTCAAAGATCAGCTTGAGAAGACTAAGTCAAATATTACAATGAAATATGCAAAGATCTGGAGTTAGAAAGCCAAAAAGGAAAAACATGCTCAGCATTTCTGAAGCTGAAAGAACTGAGGAAAAAAGTCAAGCCTCGACTTTCATTATTTAATGATTCTCTGGGGAAATTATTGAATGATAAAGAAAGCATCAATAGAAGATGGAAGGTAATACACAGAATCACTGTACCAAAAGGAAATGGTTGATGTTCAACAATTTCAAGAGGTAGCATATGATCAAGAGCCAATGATACTGAAGGAAGAAGTCCAAGGTGCATTGAAGGAATTAACAAAGAACAAGGCACCAGGAATTGATGGAATAAAAATTGAAATCTTTCAAGAAAGTGAGGCAGCACTGGAGGCT